CATGATTTTTTATATAGAGGGAAACCTCAAAGCTTATTGATTGTGAGAACTTAATTGTATGACAAAAATGTTGCAACACAATTACATTTTTAAGCTTCTTGTACAATCATCAAATGCGATTCGTGCAGCTTGGCTTTAGATGACTAGATGAAGCTAATGGAGTTAAATAGATTAAGATTAAATAATAAAGGCCCTCTGTGTCTTAGAAATGGTTTCAACTTTATTTTTAAAAGCTTATTATTTTTGGTTTCTTTTATAGTTTTTAAAATGTTACTCATAGGCCAATAACCTAGCCTGACCACTTTTTCTTCTGTTGCATTTTTGGCAATTATTACAGTTATAGTGATTTACTATTGTGTATGGAAGTCAAAAACTAATCTGTTCACATTTTGATACTTTTATGACAAAAAAAAATCACATTTAGCGCTATTTTCTTCATGAAATAAGCATCTTGTATACTATAAAATATTATGAGAATGTTATAAAACTCAAGTTTTCACTGTCCAAAGAAATATCTGTTTATGGGGGATATTGTGTCCTTAAGCAATTCATTTCTTATTATTTGTCTTTCCTTACTAGTGTAACGAAAGGAAAAATCTTAAATTAAATTAAACTTTATCTATGATATAATAATTTAATACATATAAAACATCCTATATTTATTTGCAACTTTTGTATTATGCATCATTTAAACGAAACACCACAAATAAAGCGTCTAAATAGATTCAACAAACAACTCGTCACCAATCAATAAATGTTCATTTTGTTAGATTGAAAAAAATGATCGGACATTTCTCAAACAATGATAGAACAACATTCTTGTGATGAGGAGAATTGTAACAGAAATTGATTTGACAGGGTGTTACATCGTAAATGTTGCAATAGCGCTGCAATAATATAATTTGGAAACATTTGGGGGGGGGGGGCAAATTGTTACTGGCCGAATATTTAACATTTTGCTAATTCAAGTGATCATTTTAACGAAATATCTTAAAAATATATCAAATGATTAAGTTGATTTTAATCACGTTGAATAGCTGATACAATTAAATTTGTTTCTCTTCTTTTAAGTGTAAACTATTCTTAATATTTGGCAACTTTGGTTTTTGTCATGTTAATATATACATGTTAATATTATTTGACAAAAATCAAAGTTGTCAAATATTGTGTATAGTTTACACTGCGAAAAGAATATATATTACCACACTAAGCATGCAGTGCAGCATAAGATATATGCATTTTTAAAGAAAAGAAAACCACCCTTATATGTACATCCGGTATAATGAATAATGTTTAAAAACAAAAAGATTTTCCATTGATTAACTAAATTGGGACATAAATATTTATTTATAACAGCGGGCACACATACTTAAAATTTTAATTTTACAATAAACAAGGTGGTTATCATCACTCCATCCACTGGTTTATCCATGATCCACTTATCATTCTTAAAAGTTTTCCAGGATATGTCTCATGAGATAGCATTCATCTACATCACTTCCGGTTTTGGTTTGGTGCGTTCTGGGTACCCTGCTGTGGCAGCTTGAGTGTGTCAGGGCCTGCGTCTCTTCCCGTCTCTTCTGTACATTACATGAATTTTAAGAACATCTGATCAAAATATATTACAATCACAAAATATTTATGGCAATTTATCTTTAACATGAAAGGGTTTTAAAACAAATTCAATTTCGTTTAGCGTAGATGAAAAGAAAAAACAACAAAACACTAATATTCTATCTCCAAATAGCAGATAATAAGACTCTCCGATGCAATGTGTATACCTTTGCTCATTTAACTGACATTATAAGATTCGAGGGTAACTATGACAGTCGTACTTTTCTGCCATTATCTACAACTTTTTGGCAATAACAAATAATGCTGTACTATTATAAGTGTGTACACTAGAAACATTCAAACATTCCTCTACAATAAATACTTGTTGTTCAGATTATTGCTAAGGCAGGTGCACCCATAACTGTCATTTTGTTACATTCCAGTCTATCTGACGTCATAGGCAAGTAAGGTCCTTGACTTAATGTTGAACGACTAACCCTGAAATTATCTTTTATCATAAAAAATAAGTGTTAGACGATTGGTTACATTTACATGTGTAGAACTGATAAGATTTTCACGTACCCGAAATGCTATGAAAATAGTTAAAAGAAAACAGTACCCGCACACAATATTTATTGGATATGTTTTTAGTCCTTTCCCGTTTTGGTTCGGTGTCTAAATGGTTACATTGTAGGTGTACGTTCGTTTTGTTACGACATTGAAATTTATTTTCATTAAAAATATAATACAAAATAATAATAATAAAAAAATAATAATAATAAAAAATAGATTGTCGAAATTCTTTTTTGGCGCTACAATAACTTAATTATGATATCTATATATTCGTGTGATTTTCTCGCAAATTTGTTATATTTATTATGTGTCCGTTGGTGTATTTGCCATTCTCTAATGGTCAAAACGGTCAAAATATTTTGGTGCTTTCTTAATTGTTAAAACTATTACCTTTGATATTTCCTGCAGTAACATCAGTATGAATGTTGAACTGTCTAGCTTAATTTGCAATAATCATACACCATTGACCCAAATGTTGAAATATATTAATTCATATTGAAGGCAATAAATAAATATTAACCTTGGGAAGAATATATAGCGTTACAAACCGATAGTACGAGAATTCCTATGTGGAGCAACAGACATCGTTTCTAATTTGTCTTAAATGTGGTGCCACATTAATACCTGTTATTCGCATCTCATATTTTGTAAGCACACCGGGTAATATGCTTTTCTTATTTCATTCCGTGAATAAGCAAAAGTGGCAATGATGTAGTAAAACTACTGTGGTGAAAATTTGGAATCATTCCAGGGCATGATTTGCTTCTCCTAAGTGGTAATTATTCTCATTATTGGGTACGTTTTATTAATCTTATACCAACACAAATTCTTCAAGTAAAATTGCATTTAGAACGAAATAAAGTACTGCGTTCTATTAAGTTATGATTATTTGCCCCTGACCACGTTTGTTCGATTGATCCCGTTTGAAATATGAAATTGATTGTCATGTCAAGAACGAACAAATTTTTATTCCATTCTAGTACTCGCAAATGCCTTAAATAATATAAGGAATACTCTGAATATATCTCATAAGACTGTTAAAGTCGTAGTAAGTTTACACTGTTGGAAATTAACAATTTAAAAACAGATCAAATTTGACCATAATGCCTGATGAATTATATAATAAATTTATAATGAAAATATTGAATTCTATATTTAAAAAAAACAACAACAAAAAAAAACCGGTATTGTTACATTTGAATGATTCCCTGCAAAATGGTTCTATAAAATTCAAGCACCAAATTTTAATGTCATGCGAAGCATTCTTTCGTATAAGATACTAAATTGTTGTGTTCATGAGGTTCATAAACTAACGACCTAACGATTAAATTCCTGTATCTAACAGTCTAAAGTGAGTTTAATATTGTTTTATTAGTGTTTGTATCGTAAACGCTTTCTTAGTGGGATATGTTTTACAATGCACGGCGTGTCAGAATATATTGATATAATCCATGTTTTACAGCTATGGTTATATCTATTTATCTCCCCCGTCGAACATTGCGGTGATGCGGGTTATACTATTTATGCAAACAAGTTGTTCCTGTATTTAATGGCACTTTAAGCCTAAGAAAATTTTCCATTTCATATCAAGGGGAAACATGTGTTTTATAATTCTGTATTAATCGATTGAAGCCTCAGAATCAAATAATGTTTTACTTCTTTAGAAAGGGCAAACATGAATTTTAAAATGTTTAAATGGTGGTTTTAAAGAAATGTAAGATGCTTGTTACCTGAAAAAGAAGCAATCAATTTGAATTACTTTGTCATGAACGTAGCAAATTGTACACAAAGTGGTAAATTGACTTCCATACAAAATACTATATCTTTATAACTGTATTTATTGCCATAAAGCTACAGCTGAAAAAAGATTTTTCCGCTAATTGGCAAATGAGTATCTTTTTGGATACTATAAAAGTACATCTATATTAAAAAGCTTTTGATAAAAAATGGGCCTTTGAAAACATGTCAGATGCTTTCCAATTAACGGAAATAGCGTTTAGATATGAGAAATAATTTGTAATAAAGGAAGCGAAATATTAACGAAACGGTTTTTTGACTTATGTATCAAATACATGATTAATAGAAGTGTACTAATTTCCAAAATAAAGAAGAACCTTAATACGGTTCAGCTATTTAGCAAATCTGTAACATGTTTGAAACTGTAACAGGACAACAAATCATTTCCAACAAATGGTATTTAAATTGATAGCTTTACAAAAATCTTTCTCGAATTGATAAGGATTGTTAATTCTGATTATTATTATAATATATTTTTGCAGCAAATAAAGCTTAATTTGTACAATAATATATAAAAGATATTGTTGTAAAATTTAACGCAATATATTTATTATTTTTTAATGACTTTGTATTCGGCCATTTTATTATTGATCATGATTAAATATCTCCTCTAATTTCTATGATGGCTTATTTGTGCCATGTCGTTTTTACTCTCCGTTGGGCGTCGTCGGACGAAAACACGAAAATACGACAAAGTCAACATTTTGACGTATTTTCCCTCCGCAGGAGAAAACACGATAATACGACATAATGGGGACATTGTCGTGTTTTGGAGTTTCCGCGTAGCGCCTCGTTGTGCGAAAATACGACAAAGTCACTTCTTCGTCGTATTTTCGTGCTTTTGTATTGTGCCCCACGGAGCGAATGTACGACATGGCACAATTCACCCACCATAAATTTCCGAGTCTCATATTTGTGTTGTTTTAACCGTTTCAGTTTGTTTTGTTGTTGTGAATGTTGTTTTTTTTTCGGTATACTGATGAGAGGACTCAACATAATTGATGAAAGGTATACTACAATTAGAGAAAAGATCATAAAAGAAAGATATATGAAAATAAGTCATAAGTAAAAATAAATACAAATTAAACAATTTTATTTGAAATATCAAGTTTTCAATATCATATACAATGTATTTATCATATTTTGTAAAAAATGTATATAAAATTAAATATGGTTTTGATATGGAACAAACCCAACAATATATCAATGATTGATATGCAACTTTTATCTCGAGATATTCTAGAAAACAAATCCTTAATTCCTATACACAATGTATTAGTATAATAAACTTCCTAAATGTCTTGTTATTTTTATCACCAACAGTGAAATGTAAAAGCAACTTATAATATCCATAAACTGAAGAAAACTTAAGCTGAGCTAGAAGAAATAAGAGAACAAATTAACAAACAAACTCATTTTAACAAAATTAATATTCTAACGTTAAACTATATTGAAAATGAGCTGGAATGCGCATTTAAAACATCTGTGTTCCGTTTTCATAGCTAACCCAAGCACACTTTTAGAGATTTTGATACAGTCAGATTTAGTTTACAGCTTTTCGATCGGAATCAAAAACTCTCTTGGAGCGTCTACACTAGCTGGCGCAGGGGCTTCTATCTGCAGAACGCCGTCTTTAGACAAAATTGATGTCAGACGAAGAGGATCGATTGCGTTTGGAAGAGTATATTCTTTAGTGAACTCCCTGTAAACTTTCCTGCCGGGAGATTCTTCAGTGTGCTTAGCATGTACACATAAGCGTTTGTCCATGGTTTTCACGCTAATTTCTTCAGGTTTGAATTGACTGCAATCAAAACGGAGAGATAATTTCTTATTTCCAACAGGGTCTGTCACAAATGGCTTCTCTATTGAGAGCATTGAAGAACCGGTATCCAACTTGAACATGTCCTTTCTGATTCTTTCTAATTCCCTATCGAACCTCGATCTCGACGATTCAAAGTCCATTGATTTCCAATCATCATCGAATTCCTTGACCCAGTCCGAAAATAAATCTCTTTGACGGTCAAAGAAACCAAAGTCTCTTTTAAATAATGGTACTAAATTCCAAGACATGTTTGCTTATGAAGAAATGTTTTCCTATTCAAATCAATATCTTTATTAAATCTCCCAGTGTTCTCTAAACGTTACCGCTATTCAACTGTCAAATAAGCGATGCGTCTATCTATTTTATAGCGGAGTAGCAGCTACTGCATTCACTGCTTTACAATATATGACTCACAACAAGCGAGAATTCGCTGGAATAATTCACTACAGGGTCGTAATTTTAGTATTTCCTTGGTGATATGAATCACAGAGATGTTTACCTTGCTTCTATCCTATCCTAAATAGCAGTCTTTCATACCATAAATAGTTTTCCTCCAATTAAATGAAACGTCTTTAACTACTAGTCATTTTATGTAAATATGTATAGCGCACTGATCTATTGTAAACAGATTCGTCAAGTCAAAAGTATGCATCGTTAATTGAATTTTAGACTAGAATGTTGAGCAATAAATTGTTTAACATCTTGACAAAATATGCTCTAACACAGAGTTAAAGTGTTACGCCAGATAACCCGTTCCATGATTTACCTGTTAATTATTATTTCTTTCTTTTGTGACTGCTATATTTCTGCAATAGGAGTATGTACATCTAAACAAATCACATAAATATGATCATAAGGTAGTGTGAACTTGTAGTGTTTATATCAACTTCATTTTCTAAAATTTGTTTACACATACCAATTGTTTTGTTTTTATTTGCTTATTTCATTCTTATTTACGTATTTACTTTCACTCGTCCTTTGATAATGTTATGTTGACTCCTTGTATAATTACCCGAGGTCAGCCGAAATATTGCCTGTTTCAGCGTTATATGATCTATACTGTGATAATTCGCTGTAAAAGTAACAAACAAAATAATATTGCCAAAATAAGACAGGATTTTGCTTTAAGATTATTATTAGCTATCGTTAGCACACAATTACGATATTGAGACTAATAATATACATAATATTATATTAAAGAAAGGAATAACTGACTGAAAAAGTGTTCCACTTAATCGACAAGTTGCTGAATGAAATAAACGGGTTTAAATTTGTAAGAATTATTGAAAAAGTGTGAGAAACCATCTAGGTAATGTTAATAGAATGTAATAAAAGCAAATCGGATTAAAGTTTTTATCTTGGACATTGAATCATTCTAAACTCTTTTTACTGCATCGCTATCAGGCTGTATAAAGATGTGTATGTTTTCAAGCATAGTTTGAAAACTAAATAAACCTTAATGTATTTTATTATGGACGTTTATTGTTGTCACTTTCTTTATTGAGGTATGGACAGTATAGTTGGTAAGTCTTCATTGCGCCTTTGATCAATGTTTTCATTAGTCCTTTGATTTAAACCAGTTAAACAGAAAATGACGGAAAATGTTAATTAAGCAAATTAATGATGTATACAGACTCAATCACAAGTAATTAACATTTATCTTAATAAATCAATTCAAATGTAACTATTTATTTCATCCATGTTCATCTTACATAAAAGCGTTTAAAAAGTCATTTTGTTGCGTTCAAATTATTGTTATTCAACGTAACGATTAATATTGGATAATATTATTAAACAGACTCCGCCGTTTTTTTACATGACGGGACAAGAAATAATTTTCGAGATTAATATTACATTTGATGAAGGTCTAACTTGTGTGCAAAATTTCAAATCTTTCACCCATTCCGGTTTTCAAGAATAACTAATTTTGAAAAATGATCCAAAATGGAAAAAAACTCTTCTTTCAAATAGGGCTAAGAGTTGCCAAAAACTACCAATTTCAATTTATTTCTGAGTTATGTTTCAATTATTTTTTACATATCTGTCTCAATTCATCTATGTCAGAAATTCAAATTTTATGTTTTAGGCCTTTGGACCACTGAAGAGTTTACATTTTGTGTATAATTTTTTCCGAATACATTTTAATAAACGTTAAGTAACGAATGACAAGAGTTTCTTGACTTTTCGGGCCGTATGCTGGTCTAAAATCAGTTTTACCTCCTGGGAAGAATAGTTTTCACTGGTCATTTTAAAATTACAAAATGAAATCTGGGAATCTCATTGGTCATTCTAAAGTACAATGTAAAGGATAGCTCTTGTCATTCTAAGATAGTTCTAAACTAAAATGTAAAGGAAAGTTCTTGCAATTATAAAAAAAAATGTAAAGGATAGTTCTAAAATAAAATATACAGGACTGTTCTTTAACTTTCTACTTTAATTGTTATATTTGAGTTCTGTTTAATAAAACATTTTACACTGCGCACATATCTCCTACAATTTTCTAGTGAACAGTTTATTTTACGTAAGATCTTACTGACTTTTTTACACAAGATCCGAGTTTAAAATTTTGTCCAAGCATAAGAATAAGCAGAATAATATCAGAATTAATCAGGTACCTCATATTATATTATTTTTGATGTGTTCAATTGATATAATGTTTATAATTTTCATATATTTTCGTCAAGTATTTATAAAAATAATTGTCTATCGACTGCATAGATGTTGGTTCACTAACCGAAACACGACAGGTTCGTTTAGAAACACATACATCTTAAAGTGTTTCATTTTCAAGATTAATCACTCTAAAAATTATTATGTCATTCTTATACAAGCTATGCAAACATTTCTATATGACACGGAAAACTTACAACTAACATATGCATGATAACCAGTTTTACTTCGGCCGAGTATTAGTATCTTTTTAAAAGGTACTTCTTGTTTCATACTCAGATCGTATCAACTTTCGCATGTATGCACGGATCTGTTTCGTTAAAAAAGAATATCCACGTTCATACCGTTGACAGATGTGTATACACATACGAATGTTAAATAATCTTTACAAACAAAGCTTCCATACAACGACACACTTAGATGAGTGGATATTTTGGTACTTTTGGTAATTTTGCAAGCTCATTATAATTATAATCAAATTTGTTTCTTTCTTTATTTTGTTCATATTATTCAATGGATTTTAACGGGCTACACCATCAAATATGACGCTTAGAGCGTACGGCAAAACTTATTCTTGTTATAGCAACAGTAAAGCTTTAGAGTTGAAACGCCTGTCCAACCAGTATAAAAGCTATGCTTAACTTTTGGAAATTTTATTTTTGGAAATTTTGGCCGCAATAGTTTTTACAAAAAGCGGCAATACAACACAGTCCTGTGTGAAATATATATAGTTTCAAAAAACCTTTAAAAATTATTATTTCCTCTTTCAATAAAAATATCTAAAATTCTTTCAATAAAATTATCCAAAATTTTGTTACCATGAAACCGAGGCACTATGCTATAACCAAGAAAAAATAAATAATTTTTTTTTTTCACTTAAATGTCATAACTCGATAGAAAAAATTGCAAATACTTCTTAATCCAATACCAAACAGAATTTCAATGGTTGGTATTCCGTATATTTATCGCATTTTTTATAAATACATGCTTCTTTATCTTCATAGGTTTCTAAGATATCATCACAGGTGCTTAAAATTTGTATTCAGATCAATCATTTCCGAAACACGTAGATAAGAAATATTTTAATCGTAAAGCGTTAGAAGATTTGATTAAACACAAATGCAAAATTGTACATTAAGTTTAAGTATTATTATATAAGCTCGGAAAAAGCCTTGATGTTAGGTAGTATCATGAAAAGGCACGTGTGTCTAATACGTTTCCTGTAGTCATGAAAATAGCATAAATTCTAAACGAATACATTAATCTGCGAATCTATTATGGTGCCGTGGTACTCATACCATAACTTTATAGGTAGATATAAATGTAAAGATACAATTTTTTTAAATATTTAACCTGGGCACCATGATATAACAAACACAACATATTTTCTTTTCTTCACTTGAAGGACATAACTCGAGATAATGACTTTCAATTTCTTTTTTTATCACGAGCTTATCTAACCCAAACATCCAAAAACGTGGTCGAAAGGATATTTGAATTAAATGACGTCATCACAAATTCCTCAATATGTGCACTTGACAAATATTTGTGTACTGTCTTTAAAAAACTACAATGGCAGCATTTAAAACAATATTATATGCAGACTTTGAAAACAGACGACATTTAAGTAATATAAATTGTATGCGTGAAATATTTTGCTATTAGTGACTCTTGGTTTCAAAAAATTCATATGCATATATTTCAACATAATTAAAGCAATAAAACCTCAATCATATTAACATTATCTCAAGCGCAATGATTATCCCTTTTTTTTATCACGTACAGTGTAAACTCTACTTGAGTAATATTTTGATATATTTCGGAAAAGAACCTTAAAGTTTTGACAGATACAATGATATGATAAGATTTAAGGGACTTTGTAAGGATTTGTAAAGATCAAGATCTTTAAATTTTCTCTAAATTATTCTTTAGCTTTGAAAACGTATTATTGTGTATCTGGCGGGGAAATCTTTCTGTAAAAGGCCTATTTTACATTTTAGTTTGTTTTGCTTTTTTACTACGTTTTTGAACGTTCAAAGTAGTGACAGATCTGATATAAAGTTCTGCGCATGTGTCAACCTTTCTTAAATGCAGTTAATTAATATCCGATTTCATCCATAAAAAGTAGGAAATGATCCTTACTAAATTTATTACATGTGTTATGATTGGAAATACACAGTTTATCAAACAGATACCCATCATTAACAACTATATATTAAACAAAAATTATACTTCATTTGTACTTAACAAAGAAATAACAATTAATTAACAGAGAAGTAAAGATGTTTCTTATTTGCAAAAAGTAAAACTGTTTATGTTACTTATGTAAGAGCCAACTTACAAAACAGGTGCTGTTCAATGAAATTCACTTTTAAACAAATAATTAATTAACCACTCGGGGTTATTTCTTCTTTTTTATTGTGATAGAATATTGTTTAATTATTAATGTATGAAAAGGCAATACAAAATCCAGCTTGAAAAAAACTTTTTGACTTCTTAAGATCAGAAATAAAAGGTAAAAAAGCCAAACTTTTGATAAACATTTTATTTGTTTTCCAGAGATGCAATTTAAAGAACAAGTATTTTTCCAGCATTTGCCATAGTAATGCAACTATATACATTAAAACATTTATTACAGACTACAAACAGATGATTTAGCAGACTGAGATTTCTTTATTGTCTCGCTCTTCTTTTTGAAGGAACTAGTTCTA